GTAAGTAGTGAAAAATAAGGGAACAGAATGATGCAATGAAACAACTGCCATCATCACAAAACTTCAGACATTCCACTATAAGACGGTTGAAAATACTAATTAATACAAATGAACATTAATTTATTAAATAGATTATAGGTATGATCTTGCACTGTAAAGTTAATATGTACGGTTATTAACATAGAAATTCCCTTACTTTTTAAACATTTCTAATATTTCAGTTCATCTACAAGACTTTCTAAATTACAGAACATTAGCCGGAATAATTCTACAGTAAATACGCTATGTACACTTTAATTACAAAGTACTACAACGATCAGCCTTTCGCATTCTGTTGGCAACAATGATCAACTCTCCGTTCACCACCTTACGGTGGCAGGCTGGCCAACAAAGTCCATCACGTCAGTGCAAGGACCGGCAAGGTTTATAACCCAGATTCTCAGAACTCAGAACATCATACTGTGGAACACTCTATCAGTGGACTATGGTACCTCAATCACTTGGAGCGTCGGTAACGATGGAAAGCGGGCATTAATCACAATCATCACAATTGATCATTATTGTTTATTACAGTGTCAATGTGTATTGCGTTTTGATTGTAGGCGGGTAAGTTGCGTATACTCTTCCGGGAAACATTACGATCATTCGAAGGACATTCAACTTCTGCATATTTTTGACAGATTGTTAAAAACGAACACCGTTGGGATTCGTGTTATTTCACTGTTGCAAGTTCAACTTGTGATTTCTGTAAACACCTCAGTGCCCTTTCTGAGCATGTATCTAGTAGAATGCAGGTTTTTACTGTTTACATACCCCTCTGTCGCCTGTTACACATACCAATCCGATTTACAAAGGAATTCACGAGAGCTGATGGTCTTAGGTGATGTGGTCGAAGTTGCGGGGTATAGAAATGCATAGCGTGGCTCCGCGATATAAATCTGTAAAAGTAAAAAAGTAAAGGTATCCCTGTACTAGGCCGTGAAGGCCTATGGGGCTGTGAGACGTTGATAGCCCGACGAGTCCGACATTATCTAGACAATCTGCTCAAAGATGGCGGTAAGGTTATCAGCCTTACGCGCCGGCCGCCCTTTCCTCCCCAGGAAAATTATTTAAATAATTCCTGGTACTCATTTCTATTAGAGGCTGAGTTGATCCCTGGGCCATAGTGCAGTAAGAAGCATTAGGTCAATTAAAAAAAAAATACAGTGACACCATCGGGACTTGAACCCGGACCCTTCCCACTTGAAGCATAGCCTCTAAACCAACTATGCTACCACGTGCCTACTAGTATAAATCTCTAGAGTAGGATTACTGTTCTTGGGGTGTAACTCTGTTCAGTCTTGTAGTTTGTTCCCAATTATTTGGAAGCAAAAGGTTTACCCAAAACGGTTGAACCAGCTGCCTTTGAAACATGAGGAACAATCTGCCAGACTTCACATTGCATAATAAAACGCGAAGCTTCATAGTCTGCTGTGAGAACAAAGAAATCCACATCAAAATCTGTTTGTACACAATCATTAGCATGTTTCCTTACAGACTTGAACAAATATTTGCAGCTAGGTGCTGGTACACTTGATAGAAATATGGTCCTACATCACTAGTATTCTTGTAAATCAATTAGTTTGCAACCCACAAAACATTGTGTGTGATAAGAAAAAAGGTTTCAAATTTGTGAAAGGTTCTGCATTCTCTTGCAACAGGCATGCCAAAAATTCTGCTACAAAGAGCTGAAGAAATATATCGTGCTGTGAGAGAAATCATGGTGAGTGTTTTGTCCTTGTGTGCACAGACAAAAATTTTATTGTCATCTGTCAGTTCTCATAGTGCAAGATACTAAATATATTTTATGCCAAGCTTAATTTCCTTAAGCCCTCTAGGGAATTTACATGCTTCTTCATATTATAACAATTTGGTATATTATGTAGGACAGGGTTCAATTCAAGGAGAGCGCTATGGGTAGGTTGTATAGGACACATGTTAGAATGAGAAGTGTGTACAAAGATTTAGAAAGAAAACCCGAAAGAATGATACCACTTGGGAGAAGTTTGTGCACATGGGTTTTAAAGATATAATTTTGAGGTGTTTGGACTTGGTTTGTTTGTGTCAGGATGCAAAGTAATGATGGGCATATGTGAACACAGTAATGAGCTCTTAGGTACCATAAAGAGCAGATATTTTCTATACTTACACAGGGATCATAATTTTCTTTTGATGGTCCCTACATTATGAACTTAATACATTGCAAGGTTTTTGAAGTCTGTAAAAAGGAAATCTGTACAGAGCAGCTGTTATGGAGTAGATGTAATGAAAAACAACTACAGCAAAGAGTGCATATATTGTTTCATGTATGGTGTTGTACAACCATAACTAATAAAAGATGTGATGGTTTTACAGAACTGTACCAATTCAGAGAAAGTTCTAGTGGGTCCATATGGTGAGACGTACCCAGCAAGTCGTCATGCAAACCAGGCCATGAATATAAAAGCTGAGGAAGTCTCTGAGTCACAAGAGGAAGCAGATCCTCTGCAAATAACAATTCAGGAAATAAAGGATGAACCTGAGGTGAGTTGTATGTCTCTGTATGTCCACTGTTGGGCACATATCACAAAGGTGTAGAAATGCCAGTTGTCTGTCTCATCTCCATCTGTCTGGCTGTCTGTCTTGTCTTTTCTGTAGACATGAGAAACTCCACTGTGCTGCCAGCTAGCCTTTGAAGATCTGTTTCTGAAGTGTTTCTGGACAGTTATAGTTAGTAGAATATTGCTTGTGATGTGCAACTTCCATTTCCTTTTAAGCAGTTGTAATGTAGATGAAATTAATTATTGTGTAACACTGAACAGTGTTTCAGATAAATTCTCTGGCAGCAAAAATCCATATGTAGTTATGGAACTGTTCACAGTTAGGCGCTGGTACACTTAGAACCAAAGGACTCTTGTCAGCTAATTCCAGTGAACCACACAAAATGTCATTTGGTAAAGAAGTTTCAAGGTTACAAAAGATTCTGCATTCTCTTGCAACAAGACTGCCAAGTAGTTTACTCCACAGCGCTGAAAAAACAGTTCCTGCTGTGAGGGAAAGCATTATGAGTGTTTTGTGCTTGTGAAAAAAGACAAACATTGTCGTATGTCAGTTCTCGTGGCCAAAGAAACGAAATATGACATGCTTCTGTTTGTTTTCATCATCCACCTTGAGAATTTCTTATGCTTCATTGTAGACATTGCAACGCTTTGGTATATTATGTAGGAGGGTGATATGCATAAGTCATGTAGCACATATGCAAGAGTGAGAAATGCTTACAAAGTTTTGGACAGGAAACCTGAGAGGAGCAGTCCACTTGGGAGGCCTGAGAGCAGAAGGGAAGGTGCTATTAAGGTAGATTTTTAAAGACATATTTTGGGTTTGTACTCTGTTTGCCTTAGGATACAGAACCATAATGAACATGTGTGATCACAGTAATGTTCCCTTAGGTACCATAACTAACTCCATGGAGCTGAGTCCTTGAGAAGCCACCAGTCGCTTGGCCATTGAAGAATTTCCCAACATTGTATGGAACCTGAAAGTTCGTCACCATGTTCGCAAGAACTCATCACCGGTCCATATCCTGAGGCATATCAGTTCAGTCTACACCACCCCATCCTTTGTCTCTGAAGATCCATTTTAATATTATTCTCCCACCTATGCCTAGGTCTTCCTTGTGGTCTCTGTCTTTCAGGCTTTCTCACCAGAATCCTATATGCATTCATCTTCTCCCCCATGCCTGCCATATGAGCTGCTCATCTCATGCGTTTTGACTTATCATTTTAATTATGTTTGGCAAAGATTACGTGTTATGAAGCTCCTCATTTAGCAGCTTTTAGTTAACATAAAAAGCAGATATTTTCTGTACTGCCTCAGTGACCGCAAGTTTCTCAGGCAGGTCACTGAGCTATTTACCAGATACTTTCTAATGATCTTGATATCTGTAGAGAAGCGCATCTGTACAATACAGGTTTAATGTATGGTGTTGTACGTCCATTTCTGAGAAAGATGTCATGGTTTTTATAGGACTATACAAATTCAGAGAACGTTTTAGTGGGCCCATATGGTGAGACATACCCAACATCTCATGATGCAGATCAGGCCATGAAGGTAAAAGCTGAGGCAGACTCAGATGCAGAGGAGGAAGGGGATCCTGTCCCAATAACATTTCCAGAAATAAAGGCTGAACCTGAGGTGAGCTGTAAGTGCACTGTTAGGCAGATGACACAAAAGTGCAGAAGTACTGGTTGTCTGTATGATTTCCATCTCTGTCTGTTTTCATGAAACAATTCTACTGTGCTGTTAACTAGATTTTCAAGGATTTCCTAGGCAACTGTAGTTTGTTGAATGTTGCTTGAGATGAACCGCTCCCAGTTTCTTTTAAGCAGATCTAATATAGATGAAATTAAATACTGTGTAAACTGAAGAATATCTGAGATAAATTTCCTAGAAAGAAGAATCTTGTACATTTTCCTTGTCTATCCAATCCACTAAGCAGTTCTATGATACATCATAGGATTCCCAGGACATATAAGTTTAAAATTATTTTTTGTTTCGTATTTCAGATACATTCTGTATTCGTGTAGTAACATAGTGTTGCCTGTTGCCCTTTGAAGTAAATTTATTATACCTGACACTGTTAGATTTGCTTCTGTACCTGCTGTCAGGTGACTGGTTATCATGACAGATTTCTTGTTATTTTCTGTTAGAAAGACAGTGACTAATCATTAGGTACAGAGAAGGTGTAAGAGGTATAAAAAACGATAGTGAAGTATTGGTATTAGCAACACATCCTAAAACAGAGACATCATTAAGGTCAAATGGACTATACAATGAATGTAATTAAGCACACAAAAAAGGGCTATTAATGAACATCACCAAGTTATTAATACATGTTTTGGGTAATTGTTTGACAATGTATAATTTTACTTTGGGATTAAAATAAACATCATTTTTAGCTAGATCAATCTTTATACTCTCATTTACACATAACTGTTAATGTAATATATGCCATGGGTCTTAAGTCATCAGCGGTTACGTGAGAGGTTGCACAAGTGTTAGCTCATTGTCACAGGTTCATCTGTATGCACCCTCGCATAATAACGTTTTCAACATTAAGAAAGATAATAAGAATATACTGTCATGTGGTTGAGTGACCATAGACCAAGGTTTTGATTGGTAATTGGATTTAGTGGACTCTTTGATACATCATGTGACAATACTTTACAAGTCACTGTTACACATGCACACAAGTGTCCACAGTCACTTTTTCACTGCCGTTGCTTGATAGCGGCTTCCAATGGCAGACGTTTCCCTTCATCTGGGTTCCTGAACTGTCCCTGCCATCAGCTGCCATCTTCTAACACCAACAGCTTACAATGAATGAACTGCAGTGATTGTCTAACCGACTGCAACAGCTAACTTGTCCTGGTTATAACATCTCGACACAGACTGCATGGTGAATATCTCTTCCATTATTTATATGTTCTCTTGTTGCTGTGGAAACACATTTTGTGGATCCGTTACGTATCGGTTGCTGTTGTGTAGTTGTTTGTTTCACGGTCACTGTCTAGCAACGAATCTACTTGCCACAATATGTGTATTTAGACAAAAATAATGCACTGAATGGTATACAACTGGAAGAGTGTACATTTGAATTTGAGGTTCTGATACAGGTGTTTATCTCCTGGGATTTGATGCCATGTAGTCTAACAAAAGTTGTCCAAAGTTAGGGACAAACTTATGCCTCCATCTTCATGGTCGAAGGCCAAACCATGCAACCTGCAGTAAGCAGAGCTGCTTGATGTTGCTGCTTGCTTCATGCTGGTTGCTTGGGAAACTTGTCACATCCCAGATAACAGTACCCTTCATGGTGACTACCGCATCAAGCTCAGGTCCAGCAAACTTGAGCAGTCAGTTGCTGAGAACTGAGAATGCTCCTGGGCACAGTTCCCTCCATGTAAATTTAAAAGAAAGACTATTGCATAGGGATTTATTCTGTGTGGATCAAGTGTTAAATATGACCACTATTATGTCTGGAATGTTCTTCAGCATGAACTATGATCAAAATATTATTTTAACACAGTATTATCATTAGTTGGGAATGGGTGGAGTTGTTTTTTGGTTTGTTGGATTAAGATTCCTTTTTTAAAACATTTCCTAGATGTTATGCTACAGTCTGAGTTTACAGACATGTGGTAACCTCAGCTGTAGCAGTACTTATTAACTCTTGTTTACATTATTTGTTGTGGGTGGAATTTTCCCCATTAATGGGATTCACTTCAAGCAACACCTTTGCAGTGCAAATTAAAACACAGTTAAGGAGGATCCACTGCTCCACCATTACCTGCAGCAGCAAGAGAAGTTGTGTTCTTTGGGAGTTTGTCAGCAGAAGAACCTCAGGGTGGTAATTCTTCTGGCTTACTTCTTTACCCTTTCATCCCATCATGGCAAGACATGGACCAACACACAGCATAACAGCTTGCAGTTGATCCAACTATGGTATTCTGTTGTGGCAGTCATTTGGTTCCATGTGGAAGCAGGAAGTTATCCTTACATGCCCTCGAATGAGACACGATTGCCTGACATGCGCAACTGTTACAAGGCGTTCTCACACCTGCTTCTACACATTGTGGTGTGCCACACATCTGGAAGTACTGGCCATTTTCTGAAAAGAAAAAAGCCAAACGTTTTCATTGTCAAGGAAGGTTGCATGGCATCCTAAGAGATGA